TAAAGGTGTAGGGAAAGTGGGAATGGTAGGGGAAAGGGAATAAGGAAAAAGAAAAAATATGAAAAAATGGAAATAAAGTGTTTGTAAATGGGGAGGGTAGCAGGGGGTAAAGGGAGAACAGGGACAAGGTGGAAAAATGAGAACCAAGACCTGTCATGTAAAGATACAAGATCCTGATGATGAATGTAACTGTACTGTATCCCTAAAATGTACCAAAAACTCAATGAGAGGAAAAAAAAAAGAAAGAAACTGAGTGCCCAAACAGCAACCTAAGACCCACTTCCTTATCACAAAATGCCAATGCTGCAATTAAACTTGAATAGTGAGGCTTTCGAGGTTTTTTTGTTTTTGTTTTTGGTTTTGGTTTTTTGAGACAGGGTCTCACTATGTAATGAGACTGACCTGAAACTCACTATGTAGCCCAGGCTGGTCTCGAACTCAAAGTGATTCTCCTGCCTCAGCCTCCTGAGTGCTGGGATTACAGGGGTGCACCACACTTGGCTTGAGGCTTCCATTTAGAAAAAACAACTGTTATCTGATGCTCAGCTGCTGGGGTGATCCGGCTCACCTGCCAATTTGAAAGGGCTCTGCGTGCCCACTGCATCACGTATGCTGTAGGTTTGGCACAACTCCCATATACACTCAATCTGATGAACTGGAGAAATGAAGCTCAACAGAAAGACCTGCAGATGTGTGCCAGAGTTGGGAGCACTTTTCTGCAGCTGCTGCACTCAGTCTTACTGAGAACAGCAACTCAACAAAGTAGACCTCAGTGGGGTCTCTTTTGGTGATGGCATAAGGATGTGTTTCTTTCACCCAAAACTGTAGCAGGCGTTCCAAGGAGACCAAGGTGGATAAGGTCCCATATAGGATTGTAGTAGGAGGCAGGGGCATGGCAATGTGGCTGGAGCAGTTGGGCTCAACCTACCAATTTAGGAGACTTATTAACCATGGGTGCACAACAGTAGCACCAGAGCCTAATATGGGATAAAGCTGAGCCCTGCACCAGGTACCGATCTTCTGACTGAAGAACACACAGAATCTGCCACGTGATATCAATTGTCTAACATGAGCTCAGGTGGGACCACGGGATCAACTCTCAAAGAAGACCCGAAAGGACGGCAGTAATTGATTTTGTGGCCACTGCCTTCTTGTTCATGCTGTGATCCGTTCTGCTTGCAGGATGTATCTTATCTCTTTTCTTCAAAGGACTCCTTTCACCCTGACCACTTCTCCTTTTTTTTTTTTCCCTGTCCCCAAATGAGCTAAGTTTTCACATCTACCTGTTGTCCTGACCAATTCATTGATCAGGGCAAATAAGAACCTGGAAACTTCTGCTGGTCCCTACCTCAACCAATAACAGGATCACAAAGCCGAAGTCAGATTATGAATCTGAAAAGGTGTAAAATGGTCAGATAAAATGAAAAAGCACAATTATCAGGCAGGCAGAAAGTAACGTCCAAGGTCAGAAAAGGTGGAACAAAACAGGGGAAGTCTAGCTAGTAGCCCTGCAGGGTCCTGAGTCATACCTTGTGTTGGACTCTGGCCTCTTCTTGGGGTCAGCAGTGCGTGGGGACTGCTGATTGAGTGATGAATATGTGGAAACATCTAAATATTTATTTATGGTCAGATGCAGCCAATAACTGTTCAAATGACTTATTTTTTATTGGTATCAAGTCTGTCTCCCTTTCAATCCAAATTTATTTCTCCAAGTGTCAGTATTTTAAATTAAGCTTGTTAGAAGGCATTAATTTAAACCAAGAAATAAAGGGCATGGTGAATGAGCACTCAGAAGATAAACCTTGGGACATTATATCCTACAGGTTTAAATACGGGGAAGGTCAGATAACAGTTTGCTGTTTTGAAAAGGCTTTACTCCCCTGATACACCATTTGTATATTGTCAGACTTCTCAAAACATCCTTTTATAACTATTGGAGAACTGCATATTCAGCATTACCTAATTTCTTCATAAATCTCTTGCCTTTTAATCAGCTAAGTGGCTATCTGCTGAATTTCCCTGATTTATTGATATCTTGTGAGGGCTGAGGATACATCCAGATCCTAAGTGATCCAATGGGGGTGGAATGGCACATCACCATAATTAGGAGAGGCAGGAGAATCGTGATGAGGCATACAGAAGGCTCTGTGGAGACTAAGGTAGACAGCTTCTTTAAAAGGCAGGCTCCAGAGCTGTAGAGAAAATGACACCACCACGCTAGTTTTTCCACAAAAAAACCTTCCCAACAGCTCTCATGAGGGGACCAATGGATGAGCCGGCTCCACAGTTCTGCGGGAACTGTGACCTCCACAGAATTCGTAGAGTGGGGACTGCAAAAGCCACAAGGTCAAACCCCGAATTCTATTGTCACCTTAGCTACCAATCTGTGTGGCAGTTGCAAAAGGTGTTTTAACTCTTGAGACCCGCTTCTTCCGCTGTTAACCCTGGACAGTCCCCGATGAAGACAGTCTTTAAAGACACGTATTAGGCCAGCTCATATTAGAAAGATGAGCAATGTTAGCTGCCTATCTGTGAAAGAGAACCTAATTTCAAAATACAAATACTGAGAATGGCACTGGCAAAGCCCTCTCCCCTCAGTGCTTCACCACTCCAGTTGTATAATTTATCAATGTAGATAGCACCAGGGAATGATCTAGCGACTGACTCTATGATACTATTCATCGGGGCTTTGTTTAATGGCATGAATACCTACAAAAGATATTGAAAAATCAATATTAAGAACACACTGTGCTTCAAAAGCTGTTGTACGCTCTTGGTTTTTAGCCTCAGGGATTAGCATGTATTTAAATAGATGATTTCTTATCTTCACTAATACATTGTATAATGAAATACTGAAAGCTTATTTTAAAAAGTGGTGGATTGTCATCAAACATATTTGAGCTTTTAAATGTCAGGATGACTTATTGACACTAGTCTGTGTAATAAGGCAATCAATTTATATTGCATCAACAGTCTAATTTGAAGAAGTTAAACTTGCATTATCCAACATTGCAGTCACCAGCCACATATGACTATTGGGTGCATGAAATGTGGCTAACAACACATGCAGAAATGATGGTACTTTGAATATCTTGGATTACTTAAAATACATTGTTTAAAAAAAACCTTGGGTATAAGTCAGAAGTTTAAAAACATATTTTTCCACGGAAGCAATGTATACAGACTGGTTAAACTCCCAACCCTCACACATTTACTCAAACCAAGATGCACAGCCTTGTCACGCTACTATTTAACAGCTGACTGTCATTCATAGCATTACTTCTCTGGGATGCTGACTTTTGAGTTGAAGATGTCCAGGCTGAATTCCTTCCCAATCTCCCGGTGAGGAACAGGCCAGGGAGACAAGGTTGAAGAGAAATGGATGAAAGAACCAAGGTCTTGCTCTAGTTCGATCTTACCTTCAGTGCTCTGAACTAGAAGGAAAGGCAACGTTTATTTAATCAACATCTAAGAAGTGAGATAACTCAAAGGCTAAAAAGATGAAACAGGGGCACTGTTGGCCCACAGGAGCCCACGTGGTGAGGTGGGGCAGGTAAGACACAAGCCTCAGCTAAGTGCGGCTAGGACGCTGTGAGCGGGGCCGTGGGGCAGCCCAGCCAGGACCTGGGAAGACTCGACAGAAGAGAGGACGGGGAAGTTCAACCCTGACGGACACATGAGCTTCTCTACATCACCCTATCCCCACACTGACAAGATATCTTAAATTATCATGGTGTTAATCTAACTGAGCCTTCTCCAAAAGGCCAAGTGTTTCGACAGAACCTTTGGCACTCTTTGACATTGTCGGTGGTGGGGAGTGAAAGTATACATCAGTAGTAAAATCACTTTTAATAGGTTACAGGGAATGAAAAGTTACTGCACTGACAAAAGTTTTTTAAAAGTCCACTGTGATCACTGAGAATTGGAAAACGTTCATTCCTAATGGCCTGTCAGGTCACTCTGAATTTCCTTAATCTCAGTGCACTCCCTATTTGTCTGCCTTGTCTCATGGGAGACATGATTTGAAAGTTGGATATGAAGAAATCTCGAAGATGAAGTGTGATCAAAAAGTATGGCGGATGTTAGCTGAGCATAGCAACACATGCCTGCAATCTTAGTTCAGGAAGCTGAAGTGGGAGGATCACTGCAAATACGAGGCCAACCTGGGCTATATACCGAGTTCAAGGCCAGCCTGAAGTGCATAGCAATACCGTTTCAAAAAAAAAAAGTCAATGTTTAAATTTTTAAAGACGTATTATGGTAAAAGATACATTGCTATTAGTGTCCAACCTCATTACCCCCACTTATTTCAAACACAATTGTATTATTGTTCTTTCTGCCTTCTGAAACAGTTTTAGAAGTCTTCTTTGGTGAGTGTCTTGGGCTGGGAATTTAGCTCAGTGATTCTGGTGCCTGCCTTGCAAGCACAAGAATCAGAGTTCAATCCCCAGTACCAAAAAAAAAAACAAAAAAAAAACCAAGAATTTTGGTAAGTGTCTTTAGCTGTGTTGTCATGGCTGGCTCTCTTGAAGTCCTGAATCAATTCAAAGTATTTACCTTCAATGGTCATTTTGACTTTGGGGAAGAGCCAGAAGTTGCATGGTGCCAGATCAGGGAAATAAGGTGAATAAGGACATATCATTATGTTTTACAAGCTCATATTTCCATTGGATAGCACTTGGCAGCAACATTAACTGTATTTTTTATCACACCCCATAAAGAGACTCACTAAACTGGACCTCCAGAACTGCTTCAGAAAGTGGCAAGAACAATCAGATGAGTGTGTTTGAACAAAGACGGGGGTATTCTAGGAAGATTAATGGCAATGTGTCTTTTACTATATTAAAATTTTTAACTTGAACCATATATTTTGATCACCCCTTGTACCTCAAGTCATATAAAATCCACAGGAACTGGTAAACTGAAAACACACAATGACTGTATTCCCATGAACAAAAAGTCTTTTCATCATACAAACACATACAATTTATTATACTTTCACAAAAAATTTACATACAAAGTTGAGTTTTCCAAAATGGCATTCAGGTGATTAATACCATACTGATGGCACAGGTTAATACTTTGTACTGGAGACTTTGAGGGCAGAGTTTCCGATATACTTGGAAAGACGGACTGAATGAGGCTGGTGGGAAACACTGAGTGATGGAGGAGAAATATTTTTAAAAAGAGAAGAGGAGGAGGAGGAGAAAAAGAAGAGAACGCAACTGGTTCCTAGGCGACAGCACTCCCATTCAATATGTCCACAATACTGAAGTCACTTTCCACCCCAAGAATCATTCATCCCTCCATTTTCCCTGTCATATGCAATCAGTGACCAGGTCTTACTGTTACTAAGGGCCACAAGACCAGTGACCGCCTTGGACAGATAAAAACCCAAAGCTCACAATGGAGGAAATGTTCTCCAGAACCACATTGGTCAGTCCCTACTCATGGCCACCTAGCACAGCCTGGGCTGCCTGCTTTCAGGCCCTGCCCGGAGGCTTCCCCCATCGTGCGCATTTTTCCCCATCCTGCTTTCTCCTGTGCCTCTGAGCCCCCAGTGTGGAGCCCGCTCAGCACAGAGAAATACAATCCTGGCCTCGGTTCTGCTTTATTTTGGTATTTCTACTTCGGGTACATTGTTCGATGTTCCTTTTTTAAAAATCTAACCACGAGACGCATCCCAGGCTAGAGAGTGTCTACTCCGCGTCCAGTCATTTCCCAAGTGTCTCCTCAGCCTTCAGCAGGCTCCTTTTCCCCTGCTGGTACACAGCTGCCAGATCCTCCAGCTACAGGGCTGCAGACTGGGTCTCCGGGAGACCACTCTCCTCAAGCTTCAGTCCCAGGTTGTCAATCCCAATGCTGGTGAGCTGGGGCACACTGCTTTCCGCTGGCTCCGCTGTGCGCGTCGGGGTGGAGCAGTACAAGATAAATCCCACCATGATGACGGTGAAGCTCAGGAGGTAGAGTACTGAAAACTGAAAGGAGAGATAAACAGGTAATAGACTGAGAGCCCTGTGTTGCTGCCTTTTGCCAAGTGTGCTTTGAGTACTACCTTCTTGTAATCCGTCCTCTGAAAGTTGCCTAAGAAGATTCTAAGGCCCGAAGCCCTTCTGTGTATACCAGTGAATGCATGGGCTTGGGCAAAAGCACCTGCCACATCAGCCTGCAGAGTCCTTGGATCTTTAGCAGAAAGGGAACCATTGTTACTTTGCTATTATCCAGCTACACCTCACCCTGCGAGTCCTCCCACCAAGTGGAGAAAGTAAAAAGTCAGCATGCAATACCATGAGAGAGCCCAGGTCAACCCCTTGACACAGCTGACACTATTGTTATAAAACAGAGGAATGTAGGACCAGGATCAAATGTGGATGTATGGATGTGGTACTGCCGAATAATCTCTCAATCTATGCTATACCAATACATTTCATTTTGTTAAAATTTAACAAATCATTTTGTCTCTGTTGGCAAATGTTTCGTGGTAAATGTGTGGTAGATAGCTGGTGTGGTGATGCATGCCTATAATCTCAGCATTCATGAGGCTGAGGCAGGAGGATCAGTAAGAGTGTGGAGCTAGCCTGGGCTACATAGTAAGACCCTGTCTCAAGAAAACAACAGCAACAACAAAAGAATAGGGTTATATTTATTGAAGCCAATAAATGTATTTAAATTAGATTAGGTTTACTATTATGACCAATAAAAAGTTTAAATAACAGAATTAAAGAGTAATGCAATACACTTTGGGGAAAGGAATTGGGGAAAAGAAAAAGATTAAAAGGCCAGGGATTTAGCTCAGTGGTGCCACCGCCTGCCTCACAAGCACAAGGTCCTGAGTTTGATCCCTGGCACCAAAAAATAAAAAAGAAAGAAAGAAAAGAAATAAGAGAAAGTTTGAAAGTTAAAAGGAAAAACTAAATAGGTTTCTGAAATGAATATTAAATAGATTTCTGGTCATACCCAGCTATGGGCTTCCGTGAAAAAACCCTGGGTGTGAAGTTAATTACCACTGACTTTAATTCCTGTACTTAGTATTTAGCCTGGTACTTATCTATGCAAAACATAGCTGATGTATAGTAAACATTTATAGGAAAAAAAATGGTTCAAATATTAGGGGAAGTTAAAGCTATTTAGAGTACCCTAAACATTTTTTTTTTCTTTGAGTTGGGGTTTTTATTATGTTTTCCAGGCTGGTATTGAACTCTGACCTGGAACTCATTATGTAGCCCAGGCTGATCTCGAACTCACAGCGATCCTCCTGCCTCCTGCCTCCTGCCTCAGCCTCAAGTGCTGGGATTACAGGCGTGCACCACCACACCTGGCTGGTCTTGAACTCTTAAAACTCAAGAGATCCTCCTGTGTCAGCCTCCCAAGAAGAGACTATAAGCACATAACATTGCACCCAGCTCATTAAATTTTAAAGTCACTACTACAAAAGTATCATACTCTTTTATGTATCATACTCTTTATGAGGTATCCAGTGTTACCTGTAGCAAAACCTGTAACTTGTTTGAGGCAGGTGGCAGAACCACTGAGTTAAATCCCCGGCTAAAACCTATAACTTGTTTGAAACATGCCGTTTGGTTTGGTGATCTACAACTGTTCAGAAGAAACAGTGTGGTGTCTCTCTAATAAATCCAAAAGTGAAATGGAGTCTTTTTATTAGAACAAAGAGAGTATGAGGGAGTGAGGTAAGTCTCATGAATACACAGAAGCTCTTACCTTTTTTGTTTTTTAAATTCTATCTTTTGTATCTAGATCTATACAGGAAGTTTCTAGTGGCCACTTGATTCAGAAAGTAGTTACTTTAGATCAATGCCACAGGAGTAACAAGGTCTGACATAGAGAAGCATTAAAAAATTGGAGATTCGCTTTCAATTGCCTCCTTCAAAAACATCACAGCCAAAGTTATTTCCAGTACTACAATGTTTTAAATTGGTAGTAGCTTTAAAAGCTATGTCTAAAATTCTAAGTGTCTTCATTATGTCCTGATTTTGTCTACCTCTGTAGCTTATTCTTAAGATCACAGCAGACCTGCTCTTTGCTCTGTAAATTTTAAAACAGCCTTTGACCAAAAACAATAAAACGTGATCTGAATTCAGAGGACACTGCTAAACAGGCAAGGACAAAGGACCATAAAACAAAAGCACTGGCAAGGCATTTATAGTTTGAACATTCAACACGACATTCAAAACTTATTCATAGTAAGCTTAAGGATAGTTGAAGAACAAATATTTAAGATCTCAATCTAACAGCTACCACCACCCTCAAATCACGGCATAGAAAGACCAGCATCACTAGGTGGTCCTGTGAACCGCAGCCACACCACCACGGAGCAACTCAGACTGACTTAACCCTTGTCAACTCGGGGCAGGGAGTTGGGGTGTCAAGACACTCTCTGATTCACTTACATTCCTTACTTTTTGCGACACTGTCAATAAGATATAGAGACTCCAGTCTTAGTTCAAGGATATCATAACTAGCGTGTCTGCAAAGATAACGGCTGGTTCCTCTTGTTCTGTGTAATCTCACAAGGCCAAGGTTTATGCTTCATAAGGAGCAATTTAGGAAAACCCAGGGAGATTTGTGTATCAATAATTCAGATAAGCACTGTGAGTTCATGGTCCATTCATGAGAAGAGTAGATGGTGTGAAAAACTCTAATAGTACATAAGATCCTAATGAGATAAGTGACGTGAAATAGGAAGAAAAGGGCTAAAGGTGTGGGGAAAGTAGGAAGGGTAGGGGAAAAGTAATAAAGGAAAAGAAAAACATATGATAAAAAAACTGAGAAGAGTATAAATCAGCATCAAGGATTCCTGTTTGGATACAAAATTTCACAAGGACAAAGAAGTATAGTTGCTATCTCCTACTAAAACTAAAATTATTAAAAGTAATGGAGAAAGACAGTTGTTTTCTGTCAACAAGTCTCTACTGTAGGTACTGAGAAAAGAGGGGCTTCTAAGGCAGTAATTCTGGGTGGTCCAAAGACCCATGGGGACACCCTGGACACTGAGGGGAATCTGTAAGGTTAAAACCACTTCACAATAACACTAAAATGGTATTTGCCTTTTTTATTTTCATTGTCTACAAGTACATAGTAGGATGTTCCAGGGGCACATTATTATAGGCAGCTAAGTTAAAATTAATATACAGTCAGAAAGGGACTGGGCTATCAAGTAAGTCAGCGCAAAAGATGAGAACACATCAAAACTGTGGCTGGAGGTGCATCTAAAGAAGGCAAGACCTCGAGATTAAAGTAACTATGGCCAGGTTTACACGCTTCACTAAGGGATGAATGGAAGTTTGAGATTATACTTTACCACTTTTGGGGGTTTTCATAGAAATAGACCATTATTTCACAAGAGGTGGGCCATCTGCTCCAGCCCACTAAGACTAAGACTACAGATTATCAACCAAGGTTAATGATATCATCCATATGCCCTAGCTATGTAACCCACTTCCCTACGAAATTAATACTAAACAGCTATACTTGTAATCTTACTGGTTGATTATAGTTTGACCCACGTCACACCCACCTGTAACTTTACCCTATAAAACATTCTCGGACAGATGGCCTTGGCAGTTACCCACTTGGGACCCCTCCTGCCTCTCGGGAGCTATTTCTATTCCCCGATAAACCTTCCCTCCTCTTAGCCTCCTTTGTCCTTTGGAATTCATTCTTTGCTTTCAGGGGACATGAACTTGGCACATCTGACATCTAGCAGGCTGGGAGTTATGTTTCTCCCATATCAACATGACACGTAAAATAACAAGGCAGGTGGAAGAAGCAGATGTGAGATTCCAGCTGTTTTCTATTAAAGATAGCCCAGGAACAACACAAGAACCAGCGGGACTCCAGCCTTTTCAGACTCACAGTTGCAAAGGTGACAGACTGCATTGAGAAGAAAGTCCCAGAACACCATGTTCGAGAAGGGCAGCAGCCTACAAAATTGTACTTCGGGATTGGGTTCCTAGGTACTGGACCCCTACAGCCCAAAGAGAAGGAAAGCCTGGCTGTTCTGCCAGCTGGTGACAGACCTTGGCATCATCCACGTGGTGCTGGTTCTAGGTGAATGCAGAATGCAAGAGTTGTGAGGTCAGGAAGGCTTCCACCCGGATTTCAGAAGAAGGCCTAGAGGCCAGGCAGTGTGCCCCCGGGAGGGCAGTGTGTGAAGCTGTGTGAAGCCAAAGGTGCAATGGAGACCCCAGAAGTTTTGGAGAGGCCAGAAACATGGATCGCCTGAGGAAAACTACAAGGAGGGAACAGAGTCAGCCCCAGAGAGAAACCACGGGAACTACAACTACCAGAAGCGCCGTGGAGGTGGGGCCACCCACGCCCTTTGGAGTTTACCACTTGCCACAGACTTCCAGGCATGCTGGAGGTAGACCTGTGGGATTTAGTGTTTGCCCTGATGTATTTCGACTTGCTTTGGTGTCCCATTCCTTCATATCCTCATTTGTAACTTTTGCAATGGAAAGTGTATCTTGTGCCACTGAATGTCGGAAGTGTTTAACTTTCTTTTCATTTGTACAGAGGCATGCAGCTAAGACTTGGCCTTAAATCTCAGAGGAAACTATGGACTTGGAATTTTCAGCAATGTTGAAAATGTTAGCACTTTGGCAACTCTTTTTTTTTTTTTTACTTAGTTCATTGGTACATTTTAGGTATACGGTACAATACATTCATTATTGGGATCTTGAACCTTTATATGACAGGTCTTGGTTCTCATTTTTTTCCCCTTGGCAACTCTTAGAGATGGATTAAATGCCTTTTTCACAAAGTGATATACATGAATCTTTGGGGGGGGGCTGGGAAGAATATTATGGTTTGTGTCTAGATGTCCCCCCAAAGCCTCAGGTGGTCATAGGGATTTTCCAAGGGTGGCTGGATCTATAGTGTGTGATGCTGGGATTAAGGGTGTGGGATCAGTCCACTGATTGGTTTGGTACAACCCTAATCCTGAGAGTCTGGATAAAATAAAAGGGACAGAAGGATACTTGCTGCTATGCTACCTTTAGTCTGCCATGAACTTTGCCTCTCTGCCATGTGCCACCTGCCCTGGAGTCAGCTGATTATGGACTGAAACCTCTACAAACTGGGAGCTTAATAACCCTTTCCCCAGGCCCTCAAATATAAAGACCTGATTCAAAAATGGGCATGTGAAATGAACAGACATTTCTCAGACAAAGAAATAAAAACAGCAAGTAAATATATGAAAAAATGTTCCACATCACTGGTCATTTGAGAGATGCAGATGAAAACAACACTGAGATTCCACCTCAACAAGAAAAGAATAGCTGCTATCAAGAAATCAACCAATAACAAATGTTGGCAGGGGTGTGGGGAGAAAGGAACCCTTCTCCATTGTTGGTGAGAGTGCAGACTGGTGCAACCACTGTGGAAATCAATATGGAGATACCTCAAAGAGTTGGGACTAGAGGTTCCACTTGACCCAGCCAACCCTCTGCTGGGTATCTTTCCAAATGAATTAAAGGAATCATATACCACAGTGATATATGCTCACCCATGTTTATAGCGGCACAGTTTGTAATAGCTTAAACTTGGAAACAGCCCAATTGCCCATCAGTTGGAGACTGCATAAAAAAGATGTGGTTTTTCTATAAAATGGAATACTACTCAGCCATAAAGGATGAGAAACTACAGTCATTCATAGGAAAATGGATGCATATTGAGGCCACACTCTCAACCGAAATAAATAAGACACACGTGTGAATACCAAATCATTTCTCTGGTGTGAAAAACTAAAAGTGTAAATAAGATCCAAATGATATAACTGACAATGTGAAATAGGAAGAAAAGGACTAAAGGTATAGGGGAAGTGGGAAGAGTAGGGGAAAGGAAATAAGGGAAAAGAAAAAAATATGAGAAAATGAAAAAATGGAAACAAAGTCTTTGTAAATAAGAAAGAGTGGAGGGGGTAAAGGGAGGACAGGGGTATAGGGGGAAAATGAGAACCAAGATCTGTCATGTAAAGGTACAAGATCCCAATGGATATGATCTATATTCTTACCTTATAGCCAAACAGAAAGAGTCCAAAGAAAAGGCTGTAAAGGTCAGCTGTCAGGATGCCCAGGTTGACTGAAGTTGCACTGGTGACTTTAATCACCAATGGCATGAAGCTATACAAGCAAAACATACAGATGACAAATGCCACAAACAGCAGGGCTGTGGAAAAATGGAACATCTAGTATTATAGGAAGTATTATTATAGTATTATAGGAAGAAATCAGAACACAAAAGGACTTCAGGCTTGGTTGCCACATAACCACCCCCGAATCCTTTAACAAACTACAAATTATCTCCTTAACAGTCAGCATTGCAAAATGAGGCTATGAGACTACAAATAGGCATTATGAAACAATGATAAAATAACAAGTTGTGATGTAGATGAAGGACCTCAAAGATCCAATAGTGTAAATAATCAATGCCATGAAATCTTTTCTTGGGGAAAGGGGAGGGTGTGGTACTGGGGATCAAACACAGGGCCTTTGCATGGAGCTACATCCTCAACCCTTTTTATTTTTCATTTTGAAATAGGATCTTGCTAAGTTGCCTGGGCTGGACTCAAACTTGGAATCTGCTGTCTTTGTCTCCCAGAGTGCTGGTATTATAAGAATGAGCCATCATACCCAGCTAAGGCTATAAAATTTGCATACAGTATAAGTAAGTCAATTGCTTTTATCCCCTATGCTACCCACACTCCCTGTGAGGGTGATCCTGTGATAAAAGGTCAATAAAAGCAGACTCAATATCATGTATCAAGAAAAACCACCTCATGATCTTTTGTTTGCTTTTGTTTGGTCTGTTTAGATACAGTTTGTGTCACTGGATTCAGAATAAAGTATTTTTAGGACATCAAAGGCACACATTAGATCCACTGTATTTTCTTTATGGCATCAAGTTAAATGCTCCAAAATAGCACAATGTAACTCTCCTCTTTCAGAAAGTGGTGGTCACATGGATGCTGGTGATAATAGGAATGTGTCTAGTTTGCAATCACTTTTTAATCTCATCCCAGACTCAATCTAAATTGTTTAATTGTAACTTATCCAAGCATGGTACACAAGCTTTGATGAGATTTAACCTCTTTCTGCCCCTCATTAAACAAGATTCAAATCTTTCCTAGCTGTCCTAACACTCTCTCCTGTTTTAGTTATTTGTGCCAATGTCTAGGAATATCAAATGAAAGAAGAAATAGAGGCAGTAGCTGATTTCATAACCATCAGGTGCTTTGGTTAATGTTTCACATCTCACAAATTACACCCCCAGATCACAACCTTGACAAGTCTGAGGACCTAAGATGAAGATCTAATTGAAATCTGGTGTGATGAACCTCAGTATTCAGAATTCCCAGTAAAGTAAAGTTGCCAGTGGTGATAGTGACACTTTCCTATAATCTCAATTGTTTGGGAGGCTGAGTCAAGAAGATCACAAGTTCAAGGAAATTTGAGACGTTGTCTCAAAATCAAGTTAAAAAGGCCTGGGAATGTAGGTCAGTGCTAGAGCGCTTGTCTAGCATCTATGAAGCCCTCTGTTCAGTACCCAGCACCGCAAAAAGAAAGTTATTCCGGTAGGTAAACATTAATGGAGGTAAATATTTCATGGAGCTACCACATCTCAGAGAAAACTCAATGTAAACCACCATCACTGGTTTGACTTTGCAAAAATACATCAATATTATCAAAAGAAAGCATTTGTTTCTTGATGTGCATTTTTGTCAGTTAAAAGACAGAATATTGCCAGGCATAGTGGTACATGCCTTAATCCCAGTATTCAGAAGGCTGAGGCAGAAGGATTGCTCCAAGTTCGAGGCCAGCCTGCACTACATAGTGAGTTCAAGGCCAGCCTGAACTACAGAGTGAAACCTTGCCTCAAAAAAAAAAAAAAAAGAGAGAGAATACTTAAAAAACAAAGATCATTCATTTACATACCAATTTTCCAGTTCCAGTGAATGCTGGCCATATCCTTATATTCCACAACCAATCTAAGGTTAAAACAAGAGGCCAAAAGAGATCCACTTAGGAAGTTTTACTATTTTATAAACAGTTTAGTTGCAATGCTTCAGCTAAGATAAGGAATTACGTTGACTTTTGTGTTTTTCTTAGATTATAAAAATAATTCATTTACATACCAATTTTCCAGTTCCAGTGAATGCTGGCCATATCCTTATATTCCACAACCAATCTAAGGTTAAAACAAGAGGCCAAAAGAGATCCACTTAGGAAGTTTTACTATTTTATAAACAGTTTAGTTGCAATGCTTCAGCTAAGATAAGGAATTACGTTGACTTTTGTGTTTTTCTTAGATTATAAAAATAATTCTTTTTAAAAAGCCAAAGAATAAAACCAAAGAAATCAATAAAGATGTGTCTAATTGGTTTACAGGTACCCTTCTTTAGTAGGAAAACATGACATAATAATTTCCCTTCAATAAGTTTAGGAAGTTAATGTGCCAATATTTTTTGGAAATAATTGAAAAACAAAAGTCCTTACTGGTAATGCTAGTACACTGTAATCATAAATCCTAAACATCATACATGTGTAAGAAAGTAAGGCATAATTCTTGATGTTTTAACAATCTGCTAACATATTAAAGAGTTATTAATTTCAAATATGAATTTGCACTAAAATAAAGAATATTAATATTTAGAAAATCATTTATGACTGATTTGCTTATTTCTAAGAAAAAAATTTAAACTTACAGCTGTATGCCACTGATAATTGTTCCAAATAAGCCCAGCATTCCTAAAAATTCCAGTCTGCTCAGTTTCTTCACAATGTACTCTTCAGATACATTAGAAACAGCATACAGGGATGCCCCAAGCAGGACCAAGATATCACCAATCAGTACATCACTCCCTGCCAGCACACAAGACACACAAAAGGATACACAGTCAGTAGGTGAACCAGGAGTTTATGCGACTCCTCTTCATTTAAGATTTTCTGCAACCCTGGTTTCTAGGACTTTAAACTCTCTTATTCTTTTTACTGTCTGGCACAAATTTTACCACATAGCAAACTTTTCATATTTCAACTCTGAGACTAATGAACAGAAAGACGGTAAAACATAACCATGACATAAGGCCTCAGAAAATGATTCTATGGCTGACAGGTCAACGGCGTGCACTGAAAACTATAGAGAAGGGAAACCTCTAAGCCAGGTAATTTTCTCTCTCAATCCAAGGAGATGCTGGTGTCACTAGTAGACTGGGTGAATTCAGACCTTTTTCCTAGATTTTTATGTTATCAATTGTCTGGATTTGACACAAAGTATACCAAAGTGTTGTCCTCTACAAAGTGATTTAAAAAGAGGTCATTGGTGAATACCAACTCTCCTTTTGGACCAAAAAAAATCTAGTTTTCTAGTAACTAATCCAAAATATCTGAACCAAAAGATAACTGGAGACACACAATTATTATAGAAACATCTCAGTTGGGTGCAGTGGGGCACAGGAGCCCTTTGGGAGGCTAAGGTGATAGGAATGCAAATTCCGGACCAGCCTGGGTAACTTAATGAGATCTTGTCTGAAAATAAAAAAACAAAGAGGTCTGGGGTCAAAGTTTGGGGTGAAGGGCCTGTGTCCCAGCTCCAGTACAAAGAAAGAAAGGAAGGAAGGACAGAGGGAAGGAGGGAAAGAGGGGAAAGTGAAAAAAGAAAAGAGAAGGGAAGGGAAGGGAAGGGAAACTTCTCTGTCGTGAAACAAAATAAAACCAGTGTGATGAAAAAGCCATAAAGCAAGGTTTGTGGGCCAGTAGGGACATAAAGATTATGTGAAAATGGTTGGAAAACACCGGAAAGGAGTAAAATTTAAAAATAAAACTTAGAATATAGTTAACCAGGTTGTATTTTCTACTTTTTATTCTATTTTTGGAAAACTAAAAGAGAAAACTTGAGCAAAGCTTTTCTGTGATGGAACCACAAACAAGAAACACATACATCTCACCTGAATTGTCTTCTCTCCCTGCTAATATGTCTGCGCCAACCATGGTTCCTACGCCCAACAGACAGACACACACCGCAATGAAGTGGATCACCCTGTATCTTGCATGAAGAATAAACCACGAGAGAGCCATCAACACAGGAATCCCAAAACAATCCAGAAGCTGCAAAGAAGGAAAAACAATTTTAAACAGGGTCCAGAAAATATGCGCCACATCCTGATATTGCCCATCTGAAAGGCAGGGGGGTTAACAGGGCCAAAGTCATTTTCAAGATAAAAGAAAAACAAATTTCACTTTATCAATTCTTCATGTCACAAATTTTACGTGACATCAAGGATAAACATATTCGAGGATAATTTTTGATGAGTATATTCCAGAATAAAACCAGGCATGGTGGGACATACCTGTAATCTCTGCATTCACAAGGCTGAAGCGAAGAGATTGTGAGTCCTCAGCCAGCCTGGACTATAGAGTAAGACCCTATCTAAAACTAAATAAATAAAAATAAAATGCATGCATTAGACTAATAATATTCCTGAAACCTGTTCTATTGCTTGCCCTAGATTTTGTTTGCTTGTTTTTTAAGTCTTATCCTCAATTCTTTCTGCATCTGTTTAGCCACGAACAAGGCAGACCCCTAACTCTCTAGCAGCCTGTTTGATCCCATCTGCAGTTGTTTACTGATTGCTTTTCATTGCAATATCATCACTGGAGTCCGGCACACCATGTGTAGGAATGGGCATCTTGCCTTGTTATTTATTCTAGCTGCAGAACTCTAATCTCCTAAGTACCTTATTGTCCCTGCCTGAATAACAGATCATTAAATGATGCAAATGATAATAGCCAGTCCTGAAAGACACCAGCAGAATTCAGCCATAATGCTTTAACAAAGAAACTATATTTCTTAAATAAACAAACAAAAACAAAACAGGTAGAAAAATCCACTCTAAAAACTATCACAGAAGATTCCCTACCACCTAATCGTTTTTTAATTTGTTTTTTTAAGATAGGGTCTCTCTATGTAGTTCATGTTGGTCTCACTATATAGCCCAGACTGGACTCAAAGACACAGCAAGCCTCCTGCCTCAGTCTCCCAAATGCTGAGATTACAGGCGTGCACCACTATGCCCAGCTTTCCTACCCCCAAATTGTCTTAGAATCAAACAAACAATTTTGAGAGCCACAAATGACCCTATAAGGGAACTACCTTTTTGCTGAACGAGCTCCAGAGGCCTCAGCTCCACCCCACCACTGATCAGTTAGTTCCGTGCCCTTTCTGAGGCAAAATATGGACTGAAGGGACCAGACAAATGATCTCAGATCTCCAAGTACTCCAAAATCCCACAACTTCTCATCTGATACACATCACCTTCAGTGGATAAATATTCTCGATGACAAACATCTTCTTCTTTGATGCATTCAGTTCCCAGAGTCTCATTTAATTTAATCTTTAAAAATTATGAGTCAGGCAGGTTGTAGTCCCAGCCTATAATCCTAGCACTTGGGAGGCTCAGGCAGAAGGATCACACCAAAATTAAGACCAGCCTGGGCTACAAAGTAAGACCCTGTCTCAAAAAAGCAAACAAACAAACAAACAAGGCCAAACCAAATAATAATAATAATAATAATAGTACAGTCACAATAAAGGGAGTACAAAGTAATAGGGCTTAGTAATAGGGACAGGAGTGAGGCAATATGGAGTTTGGCCACATTAAAACATACTAGAAGTGCCAGCAGCACACTGAAGAAAAAGCAAGCTTGAATTAGGCCTTAGAGGATGGGGGAAAGTCTTCCAAACAGATCACATTCTGGGAAACAAAATAGAGTTAGTCTAAGAGAGAAGGAGCAAACTGCCAAGATGGGCAGATGTGGCAGCAGAGGGAACAGAGACCGGAGAGGAAACCAAGGCCGTCAGTGCCAGTGGCCACAGCGTGGACTTCACATGAACCACTATGTGACTATCTGTAATTACAGAATCTTCAAAGGAACCCTTAGGAAGGAGGCTTCAAGACCATCTGATCCAAACTCCCTCCTTTTTCAGATTATGCAGGCTAAAGAATGACTCAAGTTGAGACTACAAATCGAGTAATTCTAGTAACAATAGTCATTTCTGCAGCTAGAGGGAGCTTTAGCTGTTAGGTGTTACCTTTAGACCATAATAAGTACATTACTTTTCACAAATGCTTGTGTTTTTCTACTAGGCAAGGATGAAAGAAAAAAAAATTATACTGTAAGACAGGAACTTCAGTCACAAAAATCCAACCATAAGAATTTTGTTTAACAGTGTTTAAATCTTTCACCAATTCAAAATGTTGTCATTATTAGTAAGATACCAGTCTCTAAAAATTATAATCAAGTAATTAAAATGGGTGTGAGAGTTAAAAGGGTAGATGCAGCTAGAAAATACCATTTTCTACATACTTTTATCCTTTTACATTCTGATAATAATGCTTAATGTATGTTCACATCAGACATATTGTTTTCATTGCTTCCTACCTTTTGCAGTGAAATAAATCTAATTTCACTTTCATTCTCCACAATTCCTAAACTCTGAGATATAATATGAACATCTCTAGGATGTATAGTGAAAAATGTGATTCATCAAAAAGTTATAAATTCATTAAGATGTGAAGTCTAGCAGTGGTGTCTATTTGCTTTCACCTCCGTTTATAACAGATTTTGTTGTTAGCAACGGTGAGTCTTTTGGATGATACATCCCATCATTTGCTAACACTGAAAGAGCTTAAATCAGTCTTCCTCAGCTCCACAAAGTTGCAAAGTACTATTATTTAGGTGCATTTTTCTTTCAACATGGCCAGAATAAACCTAATAAAGAAATAGGAATGGGAATTTTAACCTTTGGCTACTACATCTCCCAGAATGTTGAGTAGCCTCACTCCTTCCAGTGGGTTTTGTTTTGTTTGCTTTTTGCAGCACTAAAGAATCAACCCAGGACCTTCAAACTGAGCTACATCCCTAGCCCTTTTTTATGTTATATTTTGAGTCGGGGTCTCACTACATAGCTAAGTTGCCCAGGCTGGATTCAAACTTGCAATGCTCCTGCTTCAGCCTCCCAAAGTGCTGGGATTACAGGTGTGCACTGCTCCAGTGGTTTGTTATTTCACAAATGTCTGCTCTGTTTATAAGCTGCCATCTTTTCTATCCCCACAAAGATACATCCACCTTGATGTTTGAGCAACACATAAAACAAAACTCTGTTCAACATCACACCATCAACTGTCAACTGAACATTTATGCTTATTTGGCTAGGAATTATTCTGATCTGCTATGGCATGAGCAAATTAGGAAGTGATTAACTTGTATACATTTCCACTAATTCAGGAAACACTACTCATCAGAACATATGCGTGACAGAAAACAGACACCATCCACCTGTGTTTAGTTTTCTTCAAGTGAACAGGTTTTCGGTAAAATTAGGTTAACACGCATGGAGACATATTCTCTTTCTGAAGCTGTAAAGCCCAAGGTGGTCAGCAGGCCACCCTCACCTGGACACTGGTTAGGGTTGTGTACTGGTACGCTTTGACCATCAGGTAATTCGCTTCCACATCTGCCAGTCCCAGCAGGATGTACTTCCACCATTTCCTCCTCAAGATGTCTAAAAGGTTATCATTGCCTGGTTGAAAAAAAGCTCAGTTAGTACAAGAGACTCGAAGATAACACCTGAAACAACAGAACACGTAGCTTGGGAAAGTACTCTCCCTACTTTCTACTTCTCTCTCTTCTATTTCACTCTTTTTGGATATATACATGTATACATATTCCTGAGAAACCCCTGGAGTAGTGCACACCAATAATCCCAGCACTCTGGGAAGCTGAGGCAGGAGGACTGCAAGTTAGCCACTCAGTGAGACCCTATTTCAAAATATAAAATAAAAACAAAGGCCTGGGGATGTAATATTTCTCATATAAGAGAAACCAGGCAATATTTAAATTCAAGTCTGGTTTATTTCACTTAACATTATCTTCTCAAGTTGCACCCATTTACCTATGACAGAAACATCTTTTGTTCCTCCAAATCCTGTCTGTTCAAAGTAACTAGGATTCACTACTTTGGAGAATTTGCATCACAGGAGATATAGCTTGGCAAATATATAAGAAGGTTTTATGGTGAGATAACATAAAGAGAAATAAAAGTAGTAAGAATAATAACCAAATAACTATCATTGTAACCCAATTAGTAGGAACATTCTGAAAACACCAAGTAAGTCTTCCTCAAATAGGATGGCATGGAAAGCACATAAGAGACATCCCTTAGAGGGACAGTGCTGATGTGCTTATGAATCATACTGAATTTCTGAAAGCCAGGGCTTCTAGAAAAGAGCAAAGTCCAGAGTTACTAACCATGTGCCAGTTCTGCTTCCAGCTCCTACTGTTCTTGCCAAATGTGGTGTGCCCCTGCCCCAAGATGACCCTCTCTCACAACTGTTTCCTATTTTCTTTAAAAAAAAAAATAAGTTACTAGGGCTAGGGATTTAGCTCAGTGGTTCCACCACCTGCCCTGCAAACACAAGGTCCCGAGTTTGACCCCACCGTACAAAAAAATAAATAAAGTTACCAATCCTGACATATAAGAATAACACTGAGGTACTAAGGTTCATTTAAAAAGAGAATTAACAGGGCTGGAGATTTAGCTCCGTGGTGCCACCACCTGCCTCACAAGTACAAGGTCCCAAGTTTGATCCCCAGTACCAATAAGTAAATAAATAAATAAATTTTTAAAGAATTAACAAACACCACACTGGTGACTTTAAGTCTGATGAAATTGGGAGTGCTACACTCAGTCAGGTGCGATACCCATTTTCTTCACACTTCTAAATCCAATCTTATCTACATGCCGATACCATGCTCTCTCTCCTGGGAAGAGCGGCAGCGGCTGTGCACGGAGCAGCCCGGAATATAGAGTCATGGTGGAAGTAGGAGACCTGGGGAAAGCCGCCTACGCTGGATCCCTGGCCCCACCAGTTACTACCAACGTGACCTCGAGCAAGTGTTCTAAGTGCTACACGCCCCAGGTCCCCACCTGCAAAATGGAGGTGATAACAATCATCTGAGCTCTGAGGCTTCTATAAATTAATATATAACTTAAATAAGTTATCAAAATGATGCCTGGAGGCTAGGGATGTAGCTCACTGGAAGAGGGTTTTGCCTAGCATGGAGGGAGAGAGGAGCGAAGGGGGAGGGAGAGGAGAAAAGAAAAACAGAGGAAGAAAGAACTCAGACGCAAAAATGTTAGTTAGAATCTACTTCTTCCACAGCCAACTAGAAACATGGTGCTAACGTAGCTTGGGCAGCCAGTGATAAAGATGTTAATTTCTAATCAATTACTTTCCCTTGTCACGCTCAAAACCTACATTTAGGGGCTGGGGGTGTAGCTCAGCACTTGCTTCACATGCACAAAACTCTGGGTTCAATCACCAGAGCTGGCGAAACAAATTTAGATTTGATCTACATCTATCCATGTTCCATTCAGCATTCTCCACTTAATTGGAAACACATATTTTGGACAGTGATGTTCTTGTCTTTTCAAGTATTTTTAATAGTCTCTTAATTATATCAACCAGAAGGTAGAAAAAAATAAAATGTAATATTTATACTTTTTTGACCGTCTACTCTGTCATAAACAGTTCGTGGTGCTTATTTTAATCAAAATGTTCAGAGTTATGCATAAATCTCTAGTCACAGAATTTAGAGGTATCATGCTTTTCTAGATAACTTTTACAAGGATAACTTTTAGTTTTTCCCTATGTTTTGGTTTTTTTTGTTTTGTTTTGTTTTTGGTACCAGGGATCGAATGCAAAACCTTGTGCTTGCAAGGCAGGTGGCAGAACCACTGAGCTAAATCCCCAGCCCTGTGTTTTATTTTTAAATTAAAAAAAAAAAATCAAACATTTTTATAGATAATTTTGTTGAAAAGGTAATTCGCACATTTGACATACCTGATTGAAAAGCCAGCATCACTGTGTAAACCAGGAACAGTAAGCAATAGTTGAGAAAGCTCTGAAACATAGGGGTGTTCACTTTGTACTTTTCTGCCAAATACTGGCTTGTGATAGCCGTCCCACAAATACACAAGGACAACATCTGTCCTAGAGCAATCGTCTTCAAAATACGCCTAGAAAATAAAGAAATTGGAATAACCTGCAAGTAAGTTATACTTGTAAAACACACATACACACACACACACACACACACACACACACGAGCTAAACACAAAAAGAAATGCTTGCTGGGGATTTAGCTCAGTGGTTCTACCACCTGCCTCACAAGCACAAGGGCCCAAGTTTGATCCCCAGTACTCCCCCAAAAATGCTAATTATACCAAATGGTTATTTATTTCATCTTATTGCTTATTTCATGTACATGAATATTAAATTATTGGATGGGAGACTATATTTGTATTCTCTTATGTTTATGACCCCTTCCCCATTTTCAGTAAACATTTAACATTTCTTCTTTCATCTAACTACTCAATTTCTTCCACAGCCCTTGTAGAAAGAGCTGTTCTTGAGGTTGGCTGCACATTACACTCATGGAACTCAGAAACAGACTGTAGTCCAGTGGACTCTGCAGATGAGACTCCAGCCCTGGCCAACATCATGACTTGGCCTTGTGAGAAATCCTGAGTCAGGGGGCGAACCACCACATGCTCAGATTCCTGATCCATAAAAAACATGAGCTAAGAAGGGCATGTGTTGATGTTAGTCACTAAGTTTGTGCTCATTTGTTATATAGGAAAAGATAACTGGCACTGTGCTGTCACTCAGTAAGTATTTGTTGAATAAATAAAAATAAAGAAATCACTGTATATTCTCAAATATATAATAGATGACCACTTTCCCAGTGAGGTGGAATAGTCAGAGAAAAAGAAATTTGAGAATTCCATGGCAAAAAAGCTAAGAATAGAAAAACACTTTATGAAACAAAAGATTAAGTCAGGCATGGTGGTGCATGCCTGTAATCCCAGCATTCGAGGCTGAGGCAGGAGGGTGGATCACCAGAGTTCAAGGCCCACCTGGCTACATAGGGAGACCCTATCTCAAAAAACAAAAGATCAGGGCTGGGGATTTAGCTCAGTGGTTCGGTCGCCTGCCTCGCAAGCACAAGGACCCGAGTTCAATCCCCAGTACCAAAAAACAAACAAACAAAACACACACACACACACACACACACACACACACAAAAGATCAAAACTATAGGATCACAAACTGCAGGGAGGCCAGGCATGGTGGCGCATGCCTGTAATCCCAGCACTCGGGAGGCTGAGGCAGGAGGATCGCTGTGAGTTCGAGACCAGCCTGGGCTACATAGTGAGTTCCAGCTCAGTCTTAACTACATAGTGAAACCCTGTCTCAAAACAACAACAACAACAACAACAAAAACTGCAGGGAGAAGTGACATTATGGCTTGAGAAAGACAATATGATTGGCAAGCTGGGTGTTGGTAGATCTTCGGAGGGAAAGTTTTTGTTAGTGAGAATGTGCAAAGTTGGATTCCCATGGGCTGAGTGAGTAGAAGGTGAGCAAGTGAATACACCAAACATGACAATCTTTCTTAAAATGATGGTGGGGAGGAAAACAGGGATAAACAAGAGTTTGAAGAATAAGTATCAGCTTTGAGCACAGGGTTTTTATTGTTTTATTGAAGGATCAAGGAAACTTATACGTGTTTGGAAGATAAGGAGAAGTCAGCAAAAGTGAAAGCCTGAAGATTTATAAGGAAGACGTTTTTACAATTATTCAAGGAAAAGGGAAGAACTTTTAGAGATGATGAAGACAGTTCTTGGAAGAATCAGGACTCACGACTGAGAATGCTAAAACTTTTATGTAAAGTGTTCACTGTGTAAATATTTCCTTGAAGTTAAAAAAAATCAAAAAGCAAGAGTTAAAGCCCAGTCTGAGCTACTTAGCAACTTATCAAGAACTTGTTCAAACTTTTAAAAGAAATTAAAAATTAATAAAAGGGGAAAGATGTAGATATAGCTCAAGGCAAAGGAAGTTTAATTCCTAGTGTAACTGAAGACTTTTTAAATCAGATATAATGTGAATTTACTAATTGATGAACCTCAGAGTTCATTTAATTCACTGGTTCTCCACATTTGCTGCCCACTAGAGCTCACAAGAGAGCTGTTTTAAAAATACTGGTTACTGTGGGTACAGCCCAGTGGCAGAGTACATACCTTGTACATAACAGGCCTTGGTTCAATCCCCAACAACAACAACAACAACAACAAAAAAAAAAACAACAACAACAAAAACTGCAGGGAGAAGTGACATTATGGCTTGAGAAAGACAATATGATTGGCAAGCTGGGTGTTGGTAGATCTTCGGAGGGAAAGTTTTTGTTAGTGAGAATGTGCAAAGTTGGATTCCCATGGGCTGAGTGAGTAGAAGGTGAGCAAGTGAATACACCAAACATGACAATCTTTCTTAAAATGATGGTGGGGAGGAAAACAGGGATAAACAAGAGTTTGAAGAATAAGTATCAGCTTTGAGCACAGGGTTTTTATTGTTTTATTGAAGGATCAAGGAAACTTATACGTGTTTGGAAGATAAGGAGAAGTCAGCAAAAGTGAAAGCCTGAAGATTTATAAGGAAGACGTTTTTACAATTATTCAAGGAAAAGGGAAGAACTTTTAGAGATGATGAAGACAGTTCTTGGAAGAATCAGGACTCACGACTGAGAATGCTAAAACTTTTATGTAAAGTGTTCACTGTGTAAATATTTCCTTGAAGTTAAAAAAAATCAAAAAGCAAGAGTTAAAGCCCAGTCTGAGCTACTTAGCAACTTATCAAGAACTTGTTCAAACTTTTAAAAGAAATTAAAAATTAATAAAAGGGGAAAGATGTAGATATAGCTCAAGGCAAAGGAAGTTTAATTCCTAGTGTAACTGAAGACTTTTTAAATCAGATATAATGTGAATTTACTAATTGATGAACCTCAGAGTTCATTTAATTCACTGGTTCTCCACATTTGCTGCCCACTAGAGCTCACAAGAGAGCTGTTTTAAAAATACTGGTTACTGTGGGTACAGCCCAGTGGCAGAGTACATACCTTGTACATAACAGGCCTTGGTTCAATCCCCAACAACAACAACAACAACAACAACAAAAAAAAAACAGAAAAGTTTAATATAAATTTTTTAAAAATTTTTAAAGTATAAAATACTGATTCCCAAGCCTCAAATGAGACCAATTAACCTAGGTCGGGATCTAGAACTTGGTACACTTTGAGATGGTGACATAGCTCAATGGTACAGCATTTGTCCAGCAAAGGCAAAGCCCTGGGTTTGGTTTCACACCGCAAGAGGGTGATATGCTTTTAGCTCCCTTGGAAATTGTCCCAGGCAGCCAGCTTGAAACCACTGATCCAGCTCAAGATTCTCATGTTACAGAGGCCAAAGGAACATCCAGAGCCAGTTTGATTTCCAAACTTCTAGTAAATTACAATATATAACTATTTTCTTTTAGGTGCCTCCTGGTATTTCTTCTAGTTTCAAATTTTTATACTTTCACCCCTCTCTTATTAAAAAAAAACTTAGTTTATTCATTAAACATATAATTTTTGGTTTAGTTTGGTTCCGTCCTTAGGTTTTTTGTTTTGTTTTGTTTTTTATTAAATTTTATTGGTACAGTTTAGGTAAACAAAACAGTTACATTCATCATTGGGATCTTGTACCTTTACATGATGTATTTTGGTTCTTATTTCTTCCCCATTTAAGTACTGCTATGTAGTTCAGCATGTCCTTGAACTCACAATGATCTTCCTACTTCAGCCTCCCAAGTGCTAGGATTACAGGTTTGTAGCACGCATCCAGCTATTAAACATGTGATTTGTGTCCCAAGTTGCTTATTCAAGGTGGAAATACCAAAATAGCAGACAACACACACAACAGCTATTCTAAGAGTTTACAACATATTCTTTCCTCTGAAATATTTGTTTCAGGAATTTGCAACTCAATCTTAGCACATGGATAACAAGAAAAAGGTGAAGCTTGCTGTGTAAGACAAGCCTAAACACATCTGTAGAATACCTGCCATGTGCCAAGATTACCATTTTTGTAAAGATACAAAAAAATGAATAAGCACCCTGTGTCCTGAGATGTTTTGAGTCTATGGGGAAAGGCAGGCATGTAACTAGTCATCAGCGTACAGCAAGACAAGGTTCAATGGGCTAATTTTTTGTTTTATTTTTTGAGACAGAGTCTCACTATATAGTTGAGACTGACCTGGAATTCACTACGTAGCCCAAGCTGGTCTCGAACTCACAGCAATCCTCCTGCCTCAGCTTCCAGAGTGCTGGGATTACAGGCATGTGCTACCACGCCTGGCTAATGGGCTAATTTTTAAAACATCAAGACTATACCGGACAGGCATGGTGAGAAAAAGCATTCTTGGCAGAAGTAAAATCAGCCCTAAAATAATAAGGAACATCCAGAATTTCCAGTAGGTTTCTACAGAGCAGAGTGTAAGAGAATCAGATCAAGCAGAGTCTGATATGAAATGCTGTAAGGTTGTTATCTTGCTGGAGGTAGAATCACCAAAAATTTAGATTCTAAAGAGGAGGCAGTGAAGGCAATAGCAAGATAGGTTTAGAACAGCCCTGGGTTTCTACGTAGAGGACATCATCACACCAAACCTTAGCTTATTCCTAACATGTAAACCAACTAAAAGGAAAGTTGACAAAGGACTCTAGAATAAAACCCACATTTGTGTAGGAGACAACTGGATAAAGAGTATATGATTAGTCAAGTTCCCAAGGGGAGAAGAAAAAGACATGTTTAGAAAAGATAATGGCTCCATTTGGGGCATGCTGGATTTTGTTTAACTACTAGATAGCCAAGAAGAAATGTCCAATATGCAGTTAGGAGCCGAGAGACAGGACTGAGTAGAAGAAATAAATGTGAGAATCACAAACATAAAGGAGAAAGTTGAACTTGGGGATAAAAATGAGATCATTAAAGCATAGAACTGAAAATTAAGAAAAAACAAAGGGTATAAAAGTCACGCTGTAGGACACAGTGACATCTAAAGAACTGACGGAGGAAGAGAAATAGATGCAGAGACAAAAGACAGGGAGGCAGAAAGAGAACCAGGAAGAAAGAAGAGAAGCCAAGAGAAGATGGTGAGACAAGCAGAATGTTGTAGCTTGGATGGCAGCACCTCTCCTTCTGCACGCTCACTCTCCTTTGATCCAGTCCCCACCTTGTAAGAGAGTCAGCATTTTGAGCATTAATCTAACAGGGTCCTTCCCCCAGGGAAGCCTTCAGGTGGTTCCCTTTTGCCCTTATGTGAAAGCCTAATTTTGAAATGGCCAACAAGGCCGCAACCATCTGACCTCTTCGTGGCCCTCCAACCTCATCTTGGACTACTCTCTTCCAGCTTATCTAATTTTCCATTTTAAAAATTTCGTATAAGTAACCTATGCTCATCCTCTACTGCATACTTTAAATCACCCACTACACCTTCTTTAAAATAAGAGATACCCCAAGTCATACTGGGTTCTCCCCATATGAGGTCTTGTTTGGAAGGCCACCCTGTATCTCGAGAGACTTTATATAAGAAAAGGGACATATATAAGGCACCTGTGATTACTCCCACAGCTGTCACGGTAACTAAAATTCAGCTACCACCACTCTAAAGTAAAACAGGTCTATCCAGAGAACTTCAGACTTTGACTCCAGGAGACTATGCACTCAAAGCCCTGCTCTAAACTTAAGTCCCTTCCAGGATGTTATTCTCTTGTTAAACCATATCTTCATGCTCCTCTCCCAGTGATATGCACAGGACCTCATCTATGCTATTCAGCCACCTGCATGGGACCTCTGAAGGTCAAACTTACTCAGAGTCCAGAAGACCTGGTTGCTCAGGATCCTTCACCATCATCTAGTCCTGAGTCAGATAAGCCAACCTGTTTACCCTCTCATCCTCTCATGGGGTATTGTGACACATTTCACACTACAGCACACACTGATATCCTAAGTCTTCTTATATAAGTACTCCAGGGACTTGTCCATGGGATTAGGATTGGCTGCAGTATCTCCTCCCAATTATAATTTTACTTCCAGGTGTTTACTCACATTGGCCTATTACCTCATAATCTCATTCTCTGCCATTCTTAATTGCTGGAGACAATAATGGTTCCTCTCCTGCTCCTGTTTTCTCTCCTAAGCCTTACCCAAGCCAATGGACCCCCAGTGTGTACCTTGACTCGCTCCCTACCTAACTCAGTCCTCCTTCAGACCCAGGTCAGCCACCTCTCCACTCAGGTCTCCCGAAGGATCACTCACCAGCTGATACTTCAGCCCGGAGACCTCAGCGAGACCACCGTGTTTACATGACAGCCAACCAACTAACCTTAGCTCAGATCTCGGCTTGGTTTAAACATTTTCTAAATGATCTTTAGATTGATATTTTCTGGTTTGCTCCCACCCTTGTCCTATTACCTGCATAGCCGACTGGGTTACTAACACGTGGCTCCAAGAAACTTTATCAGACTTCACCCCGACTGAAGCCACAATCTTTACCTTTTTACTTGTTCTTACCCAGTCCACAGCCTCATAGGAATTATCTTCTACCCCTCTCTCCTCCCTCATTAACTGATTTGTGTGCTTGGACTCTTCTCAGGGAGCCCTACCAACAATTTCAATAAAAACGCTACTGCTGTCAACAATTCCATGTTCATAAAGGACAACGCAACTAGCTGTGCCCCACGCCTGCCCCTAGGTCAACGCGTCGCTCCCGGGTCAGCAGGAAGTAGTGACAGAAGACAGACACATTGCCCCCTTTCCCTGGTGCATGGTTTGCACCCGCTGCCGTCTCTCACCCAAAACCAGAGAGGGGGAATGTTAGGGAATTGATCATGTTGAAGTGTGCTGTGACACCGCCATTTTGGGTTGGACTTCTGGGTTCTTCTTCCCCCTAAACCCCTGTCTTGAGTTTCCTTCTCCCAAGACCGTGTCAGCATATAGAATTAAAACCTAAAGCTTCCTGCAGAGCTCCCGCCTTAGAGGGCAATGTGGCTTGCGATAGGCTAAGAGCAGCCTACTCCACCCTAATAAGGAGGTCTTTGGTTCCAAGCCCCATAAATAGGGCAGCACTTCCTCATCTCTCCCTCTCTCTGCTTTTTCTCTTTGCCCTCTTTGCCCTTTCTTTCTGCTCCACTCCCCTGAATAAAATTCGTCAGGAAAAAAAAATCAATCAATCAATCGATCAATCACCACTACATTATTTATAATACCTAATACAATGATGCAAATACTATGTACATAGTTCATTGTTTAAGGAATAATGACATCTGTACACGTTTGGTACAGAGGCAGACTTTTCCCTGCACATTTTCGCAAAGCAGAGGGTTGAATGCAAGAATGCAGAGCCGGCACACGCGGGGTGCTGACCGTATAATGCATAATCAGTATGTGCGCAGTATCAGTACTAAAGGAGAGCTTTATTTTGGCTCATGGTTCCATAGGTTTCAGTCCGTGGTCCCCTTGCTCCCAGGCATCAGGCCCGGCAGAGGAGAGCTGTTCAGCACATTGTAGCCAGGAAGCAGAGTGAGAAAGAGCTAGAGCAAAAGATGCACCCGCCCGGAGCATGTGCCCTGGACCACCTCCTCCCAGGCTCCTCCTCCGAGCAGCGCCTTCAGCTGCGAACTCACCAGCCGATGAGTACAACGCCCGTGATCCGGTCACCTTCCTGTAGCCCCACCTCTGAACACGTGAGACTTTGGGGATGTTTTAGATCGAGTCATAGCAGCCAAGCTGCTTAAGAAATAAAATATTAGCAACATCCACATATCTATTTTGTTTTCTCTCCAATCTCTGAGCCTTCCTGAAAGGCAGCTAGTTTCCAGAACTTGAAGTTTATTATTCTTATGCATTTCTATACTTGTTTAACATTCATATAGGCATCCCTAAGCAATCATTACTATTATTTTGTTTCTTTTTAAATTTGATATAAATGGTATTATACTGTATATGTATACTTCTGTAACTTGCTATCTTGATCAAAATGGTTTGGGAGACCAATTAGTTCTAGTTCCTTCCTTTTTACTATTGTATAGTATTCCACTACAAAAATATCTCATACTTTATCCATTCTACTGTGGATGAATATTTAAGTTTTATTCTAACTTGTTGTTTTAAACAATGCCTCTATAAACATTCTTGCATATGTCCCCTTGTATACATAGGTGTTTTGTTTTGTTTTTAGCAAAACAGTACAACTGGATTAGACATACTAAGATATAAGCTCCTCAGCCCTCAGGATTACCTGATTGGAGCCAATGTAGCAGTACACACCTGTAATTCCATCACTCAGGTGGCTGAGGCAGGAGGATGGCCATAGATTCAAGGTCAGCCTGGACTACATAGTAAGACTCTGTGTCAGAAAATAAATTTTTTTTAATTTTTTTAAAGATTACCTAATGGAGGCTACCTAAGAATATCTGAAGATAGTTCATCACGTTGCTTTTACTGCTGAGTATAGCAAATTCAGCATACCGTACAAATTTAACGGCTATTTGTGTCAGAGCTTATGGCAGTAGTTTGTTCTGGAGTCACATGTGACAGTGAAACTGTTGGGTCTTGGTGTGTAAGCATCTGCCCTTGACTAGTTTTGCTAGATGGCTCTTCAAAGGGTCGCACTGCTTCCTGTAGTGTATTGTGTTACTCCCAAAAGGAAGGAACCGAAGGAGCCTCCACCCTTCTAGAGGAAGGAATGATGTCAAGAACCCCCAAATCCCTCCTACCACATATGGTTGGGATCATAGTTGGAGTTGAGGTCACCCCTCACTGCTGCTACATTCCCACCTTCTCTTGGGGCGGGGGGTACTGAGTATCGAACTCAGGACCTTGCGCTTGCAAGGCAGGAGGTGGCACCACTGCTGAGCTAAATCCCCAGGCTTCCCACCTTCTTAATCTCTTTCTCCTCTCTCTCCTTCCTCACATTTTTCTCTACCCCTCTTGTACCCCTCCATTCTGATTCTATAACCCAGCTTATATTAGAAAATCTCTTCTGCAAATCATCCTGGCACCTCACCTTGCTGTCAGGAAAGAGGCCCAACCTGATTTCTCTTCTCCCAGCAGTGACATGGCTTCCCTGTTGTCCAAAGCACAAGGCACGGAAAATCTAATCAAGCAATCTAATCAAGCAATAACCTAATCAAAGTCAGAACATTTTTCACATCCCGTAATGGATTTGAAAGCAATTATAAATTTGAAATAAGTGAGAATTAGAAGTGTGGGAGCACTAAGCCCTGTTCACAAATTGACAGAATTCCCCCAGAAAGCTTATATTTGCATTCTAAAATAGCACAATTAAGCAAGCTGTCCTCCAACTATAAAGTATAACCATCTTCTTTTTTTAAAAGGAGAGTTACAAATTGAGTACAGAGATTTAAAGTTACAGGAATGCACTTCTCTTGGCTCCAAATCATAATGACCTCATCTATAATGGAAAAGAGAGTGACCAAGGGAGGGAGGGAGGTGGGGGGGGGTTGAAGAAAATGAGAAAAACACTCAGACTTGTAAAGGAAGACATAAAGGGCCTCAAAACAATTTTTGTTACTTATGGCTTCATATTCATATTTGCATTCGCCATAAGGTCCTAGTTTGGGTGAATTCTGAACAAAACCTCTTCCTGTCTAAGGAAAGCTGCCAGAAGCAACTGGACATCTGAGCAGGGCATATATCCGGTCAGTTATTCAAACAGAACCTCCACTGGAGTTCCCTTCAAAGTCAGGATGTGGCCCACCTAAAAGACACACACACACATGCCCTGGGGGTGGGGGATTCACACTGCAGGAGCCAGGCCACCAACAACAGGCAAACAAGTGCTCTGGATCACTGGGGCAGAGGTGAGAAAACAGGTAGAAAATAGTTGCATGCGGCTCTTCCAACCACCTTACTGTTTGGATATGTTCCATGAATTCCATGGATTTAAGAATTTTAAAAATGAAAGAAGGAACAATTTTAAGGCATATTTTAAATTCTCCCCTTCTTCCAGAAAACCTAAAGTACATGTCCTAGTAGCTCTTCTACTCCAAAGCACACTCAGGTATATGCTTTCAGTGAAACTACACCCTCCTTTACCCATTTATTCCGTATTTGCCATTACTGAACATCTCAAGGAGGTTCTGTCTAGAAGAGCCAGACCTGAAAATACAGAATGACAATAAAATGGGACAGTCAAAATAAATTTTAGGCTTAAAACTATAGAGAAACAAGTGTCAGGTCTTCCAGGAGAAGGGTCACAAAGGATGAGACACTTGATCATGGACTAGAAAGGATGATTCAGGAATGGGTTTTTGCCTAATTCAAACAGCAGTTTTACAAAATATTTACAACATACATAATGACACTGCCCATTTGTTTCTTTTTTTTTTAACCTATTCATTTCTTTAGCACTCCTAATTTATAACTTCATTTGGAGACAAAGTCTTCTACTCAGATGTACATTTATAAATCATTAGGAGCTTTAAAAAACAAAAACAAAAACACCACTGACACCAAGAATCCAGCTCAGACCAACTGTATCAGCTTCTCAGGAGGCAGAGCCCAAGAATTAGCCTATTTTCAAAGTCCCTTAAATGAATCTCAAGACACAATCAGGATAGCAAACCACTACATTAGTCTCCTTTTTATTTGATTAAAATAAAAACCTCAATAAAATTCATTGTTTAAATGCATATCACATATTTGCTGATCTTTATGTCTCAATAAATGTGTCACACTAGGTTACATGAGAGCTAAAAGCGAGATTTAGTATTAAAGTTAGAAGATGTCTATGGAGCACAGCTACTTTGGAGAAATTTTAGAGTCCATTACACTTGCCACCTATAAATTCTCGGCGAGATTATAACTTCCAGACCATCTATAAAAAATGCTATTATAAACCTGAAAAGATATGCATTCAGACCAAGTCCTCACACTTCACACGTAAGTTATCCAGTTCTATTTCTTGAACATTTAAAATTATATCAGAAACAAGCTCAAAATTAATTACAAGTACTTTTTCTTTATATACTGAGTAGCAGCTTAGATGACCTATTTTATTTCCACCTCTACACTCATATGAGTCCAACATTTCCAGGAATCCAACTATTGGGTATCTAATGGAAAATAAATCAGTATATCAAAGGCCCATCTGTGCTCCCATGTTTATTACAGCGTTCTTCATAATTAAGAAATGTTCAATAAACCACCAAATGGATAAAGAAAATCTGGTATAAACTGTGTGGTGGTGGTGCATACCTATAATCTCAGTTGTCTGGGAGGCTGAGGCAGGAGGATCAAAAGTTCAAAGCCTAATGGGCAACTCAGCAAAATCCTGTCTCAGTATAAAAGATAATTTTTTTTTAAAGTGGAGACTGAGGGTGTAGCTTACCAGCACTCCCTGCATCCAATGTGTAGTGCCATAAATAAATAAATAAATGAAATGAAATGGGCATGAACTATCTCTTTGGGTTCAGGAGTTAATTGACATAACCTAGGTAAAAGCTCCTCACATATTTTTAAAGAAAAGAAGCATATGCATTAATCAATGCCACATTGTATTTTAATAATTTTATAGCTAAACTACAATGTTTAGTTATACT